TCCTGACCGAAACCGAACTGCACATAGTGAGTTTCCAAGTGGTTTGAGTTCCAGCCCCGTTCCTACCTCTCGGATCGAAACTCCATTTTGTCGGCTTGTGCGCACGGCACAGGGCCTCCATTGAGATCTCTGTGCCCTGGCGTTTCTGAATTCATGGTTGGGCTCAGATGCAATGCCCGGAAAACAACGCTGCCCTTCCACGGAAAAGACTGAGACATCCAATCACTTATGTTCTCTCCCCTGGCTCGGGTCAATCGTTTGGCCCAACCCTATATTCAAAAGCAGCGCCCTGAAACAAAGCCGGGCGGATGCAGGACTTTGCCAGCGACACGCACGCAGGCGAGGGGGTCGAGGTATGTCTGTGGCCCCGATCCCACTGCAAAAGCCGGAGCCTCCAAAAAATAGCCTGCAAAGTGTTTCATCTTGATTCGTGGTTCACCTTGGCCGAAATAGTTTAATGCACGATCAATGGCGCTCTATATACATCTACATCTCGCAGGTTGGAGTTTTCAAAAAAGGACCGACAAGGGATAAAACACAAAAAAATTGAAGAGAAACAACAGCACGCCGTCGTGGCAGGCATGGCATGTTTGCAGATTTTGTGCCAAACGCAACACTTGGCACGGACCTCTAAGTGAATTTTTGTGGCACGCATAGCGCTAGGTCAAAGTGCAAGTGCGTGGCAGGCACAGCACTTGGCGGACTTCGAAATGTTGACTTGTGTGGCAGGCGCAGCACTTTGTGAACCTGGATGCGCAGATTTCCTGGCAAGCGCGGCGCCCTGTGAGATTTTTGTCTTTCTTGCCTACATTACAACCGTTTTTTTTTGTCTTGCTTACCTGTAGTAGAGCGATTCACGTGTCTCCCTCGCAGGTTGGAGACGTGCAGTTAAAATTTGCGCTGCACAACGGTTGCCATTTGACACTTTGCATCTTGAACAATGGACACGTTGGATGTGAAATTTTGGCCTTTGGATGCTTTGGCTTTCGGGTCCTGTGGGACCTTTTGAGCCTTGCTTGCTCAGGATTTGTTTTCACTTAGGCCTCTTCTAGGCATCGGACGAACTTCGTACGAACTCTTATCCCAGAATGAAGAATTAAGAAGTTGTTGATGAAAGTCGGATAACAATCAGGATTTTCAAGGAAACTGGAAGCATAAGGGAAAAAAATTGACACAAATAAGGCAGATTTCAAGAAGGAATGAGAGAAACATGGCTCCACAAGAACAGCGGGTTTAGTGACAGAATGCACTTTTTCCCGCGTTCTCTCTGACAGTGATTCCAGGATAGCCACCGGAATTTGTGCGGGAGTGCATGTTTTCCTATCCTACTTCCGGTGCTCTAGCTTTGATTGGCAATAAATCTGGGTTCTACTCTATTTCCGCTGCCAAGTCTTGATAGGGAATTAAGAGGGGGTGGTCGAGGGGGGTTGGTGTGGGCCTTCGCGATCTAAACATGCGCAAACATGGCAGGCTCCACCCTTCACCCCTCTCATCCAAAACTAAGACAGACAAAAACAATGAAGACTGGGTTCACAACGTTTGGCCTAAGGGCGCTAGGTTGACCCATGGCGGATGTCCACCACAAGCATTGTAGCAAACCAACACGCACCAAGCGCGCAAGGCCGCAATCAAACTACGTAGAAAGCAGCTGACCGTTGATCTGTAAGCTTGGTTCTTTATAAAGAACATCGTACATGCCAAATGCTTTCTTCCCCCTAATAAGCCCTGTGGCGAGACCGGTTTTTGCTACAGCTTTTGGACCCCAAACTGGTGTCCAGAAAAATCACCTTGGAGGACCAAAAAAGTGGAAAAACCAGTGAGCTTTGAAAGCGTTTGGCATGTACGATGATGTTCTTGATCAAAGATTATAGGACCGGATAAACCCCCCCCCCATGATAACAACTCTTTGAAGATAGAAGTGACTAGAGCGGAGCCCCAAAAAAAGAAACACGCATCGAAACAGAAGAAGAAGAAGAAGAAAAAGAAGATAAACTGAGAGTAGACTGAGGCAAGTGGAGACATGTAAGGTGTTGGGTGTGTCATGGAACGGATGATAAACTGATGAGTGCGAGCGGAGTGAGATGAGTGGAGATATGTAAGGGGGGGTCGAGTGGGTGATGCTGTATCTCGTGACGGGTGTTTTATGTCGAGAAGTGCTGTTAGACGAATGTTGAGTTATGCGCTATTACATCTCTCACGTCGTCATGCAGATCGTAATGGGTCTCACAGCCTCCCATGAACGCCCCCACCACCGGCCAACGTGGTGTCAGCACAACCGCAGTTGAACTGTTTGGTAAGGACGAAGGTAGCGACCTGAGCACGTCAGCAGTGGAGAAAACGATCACATGGGACTATGCAAGCAGCTCAGCTACCCACGAGGGTGTCCGCAACCCATACCTGCAATCCAGAGTAACAAGGAAACAGAACCCACACTCTCAAATGGAGCAGAGCAAAAACACTTGAAGAGTGACTGAATCAATGTGATTGAACGGCAGTGCGTCCCCTTTTTTGGTTCATTCCGCTGTCTTTTGGTGTATGCCAATGGCCTCCCAGATATGCAAGTTCCGGTGGGATCAGCAAGGCACGTCACCGGATTCCCCGATCATTGAAATGAAATATCGGTACGCGCCAGTAGCTACATTGGCGCATCGTAGCAACTGTCATATCCAGAAGGATGCTGGCCCCAACACGCAGGAACTTGCGACCCTCCACACAGCGGCCAACTCGGTGACAGCCCATGCATATAGAGTTACGCGGACTGCTTGGTAAAGGGTTCGGCCTCCCCGATATGCAAGTTCTGGGTGGATCTGCAAGGCGCTTCGGCACGCATGAACTTGCGACCCTCCACACAGGCCAACTTGGTGACAGCCCACGCAGACAGAGTTACACTCAGACTGCTTGGTAAAGGGTTCACCCGCTTCCACAGATATATATGATGGCAACTTCTTCCAGATGCGCGAAAAGGATGGTCACTGACTTACATGCACCACAATAATACAGCGTCTGGTTGGGGACAGAAAACGAAAACAGCAACGATCTGGCAGAGAGCACACTGCAATCTACCAGACCGATGTTGTTTTCGTTTTTTATCCCAGTGCTGTGGATACTTGTGCCTGGGTCGTCGTGGGCGCAAATCATATCATGGCTCCTGACATCAAAGACAACCGCAAGCAGATGGTGTAAGCGGTCTGCAGGTCATGTCCAGCTGACAATGACATCGAAAGTGGTGAACCAAGGCCCACCAAACCCATCGCAGCCTTAGCGAGTGCGTCTTGTGCTTGTAGTTGTTCTTCCAGGGCCACCAAGTCCTTGCTACGTCGCTACGTCACCCCTCAGTGGTTGAAGATGCCTGTCATTGTCCTGTTACCACAACACAGACCTCTATGAAGGTACTGACAGTGCCACGCCTGCCACACAGATCGAGCCTGGCGAGCTCGAAACGCTGCACCCGCCACACAAAACGAGGCGGCGTCCACACAGGACAGGCTCGTCGCCAAGCCTCCGCAGGCCTCCATGAAGGTACTGAAAGTGCCACGCCTGCCACACAGATCGAGCCTGGGGAGCTCCAAATGCTGCTCCGAGGCCAAACGTTCTGACCCAGTCTCAGCCAGTCTTCATTGTTTTGGTCTGTCTTAGTTTGGGATTGGAGGGAAGAAGGGTGGGGAGATGTTACGCGAAGGTTTGGCGCCGTGGAGCCTGCCATGTTTGCGCATGTTTACAGGCCAGTGTTCAGGAGCCATCTCTGGTTGTTCAGTATGGCAAGGAAACCTTGTTTCGTTGTATTTGACATTGTTGTTTGATGCGTGCCGTGAAGGATGGGGTTTTGAAAAGAAGTTGTTGAGGCTTTGCGCTCATGTCTTTGTTGTTTGTTGCAAGCTCCCACTCTGGATGCTGCCAACAACGCCAGGCTGCGGCCCGGGCGGGCCATACAGAAGTTTTCGCGGCGACAATCAAGCTCTGGGTTGGGTCGGGCCGTCTACTACAGTGCACGGCACCGCCTCGGTGCCACCTCGGCCCGCTCGGGTATATTACTGTGCGCGGTACCGCCCGGTACCGCTTCAGTACCGCTCGGACCCTCTATTAGAGGTGGTACGACCTCGGAACCCCTTGGGCCCACTCTATTATTGGCACAATGCGAGGTACCGCCTCGGTACCACTTCGGTACCACTCGGGCCCTCTATTACAATGCGCGGTAGCGACACCCCGCTTGCCGTGTACAAAGTTTTAATTGGGTCGGAGTGAGGGGCTTCCAAGAAAACGCAAAGACCAACAGAAACCCACTAAACGCAACACCTTAACATTGTAGTCCCGGTACTTCTTCAAACGGTGTGCTCCACACTTTTGCTCAACCATTCGGAACAGATGCTTGGGCGTGGGGTTGGCCATTGATTTGTCCAAGTGCAAAAGAACGCCAAAAATAGAAACTGCATAAAATGTTCCGGTGTATTTCTGGCCTTCATTTTGGCAAAAAGCGGTCTCGCCACAGAGGGCCTCCCCAGTTCTGGCTGCAAGATGGGGCTGACCGCCAAAATTGAATACAGTAAATAACTTGAAGGATCAAGAGGCCGAGAAGTTACAAAGAAGAAGACCACCGCAAACCAGCGCACCAGCGGACCAGTGGACCAGGAGACGAAGCGCCAGCGAACTACTGGAACCGGAGACCCCGGGCACACTTGGGGACCAGTGGACGATTAAGTTATTTTTGTTGATCCTGTTCCTTTTCTCTTTTATGTTCTATTTGTTTTAATTTTAATTATCATGTTTTAGCATTGTTCCTTTGTCGGGTCTTCTTGATCTACATGCCCTGCATCTACGAATGCTTCCGGTATGTATATGTCCCTTTCCTCCTCGGCCATAAGGGTGATCATTGTGATGCACCTTCAGTGAATTTGCTTTATGAAAATACATTGCAACTCTCAGGCGTGGCAGTGCGGCCGGAAAAGTTCAGTTTCTCAAAACCTCATGCACTGTATCAACCTGCGCTCCCACGCGAAAAAGGCTCAATTCAACTGCCAGCAGTTGTAGGAGGCCTCATCTGTGGCGCCAGCGATGACACCCGTGCCATCTCCTTGGATTGGCTTGAGGGGGAAGATAAAGAGCCCAAAACTACTCCTAAAGGCAAGAATCCCTTCAAAAGCTTACACCACCACCCTCGCATCCCGGTCTCCTTCGACATTCTGCCCCTCCACAGCCTCCGCCTCATGCGCCGCATTCTTCGCTGCGCTCGCTCGCACCACCTCGGGCGCCATGGCGATCTGGACGTCCTCCTCCGGGGTCGGCTGGGCCGGGAGGCCCCAGCCACCCGGGATGGCCACGTTGGTCGGATCCACCTCTTTCATCGTTAAGACCTGCGAAGAAAGCAGAGTTTCAGGCGATGAACTGGTCTGAAGACATTTCTTAGACCGGTTTGTGGCTGAATTTGGTGGGTGTCCTCAGTTTCCTGCTCTCGAATTCCAACCCATGAGATCCCATGAGGACATCTACTGTCTAAATGGATCTGCTATGGATCGAGCATCTCTATCCGTCCCCGCCTCGCAAAAGCCACCACGTTTCAGCTGAGCTCCCATGACGCCATCGGTCAAGCTCAGGGTCCGCAAGACTTGTTGACACGCGGTGTCGGTCCTAAGCTTGGTGGGGTAGCTGAAGTAGCCGCGGCCCTGGCTGTCCATGCATCGCCCATGACCCATGAAGATCGGTACCCCTCGGGCATTCATCTTATGCTGGATCACCGCAGCAGCACTCACCGACTTCGCGGACGCCAAGTTCTGACTGAGGCACACATCAAAGACACAGAACTTGTGATAGGCCTCGGTAAGGCCACTGCAGGCCTCCTCTGCCTTCTGTAGTAGGACCTTGGGGCATTCGGTCACACGCTTCAACTTGTGCTTCATCTCTTCCTCCTCGGACCTGGCCTCTGTCCGCACCGCCTCCTCCCCAAGCAACAGCAGCACCGTCTCATTGGAGAAGAGCCGCTGGGCCGGAGGCAAGTCCTCAAGGTTGGGGCCCACGGGCTTGTCCCATTGAGGCACGACGGGCTCGGCGTCGTCGTCTGGGTCCCCGTTGAAGTTCCCGCAGTAGCCCGTCTCGCCGCCCTGCTTGGGCATTGAGATCACCAGGGAAAGGAAGTCCACACCTCCAGCAGAAGCAGATTTGGGCAGGTCTCCGTTTCTGAATCACTCATGACGTGTGAACCAAATGCTCGATGGTTGAAATCAGTTTCGATCCCGCCTGTGATGGTGACATGCAGCTGGTTGGGCAGCGTGATCAAGTAGACGCCAGTTGTCACCAGGTTCTTGAAGCGGTCCTCGAAGTCGCCAATCGTGAAAGGCATCTTCGTGCGAAGGTTCAAGATCCTGTCATCAAAGAGCTCTGGATCCCAGTTTTCCCGACGATAGGCAGAGACCCCAACCTCGGAATTGTGGAACTCATCCACCTCCGCCTGCAGGATCTCGGTCCCATCAAAGGTCACATGGACCGGACCGTGTTCCGAATCCTTGAAGACCACCAGCCGGTGGCCTTGCAGGAAGGGCCCCCCAGCGGCAAAGCCCATGAGAAAGCCCTCACTGCCCTTTTCCAAGGTCTGCAAGTGCATCTGATCTGTCTTCACCAGCCATGTCACATGATCCCCCACCAAGGTGGTCTGGGCTCCATCAAACGTCACAAAATGGGGGTCCCCAAAGACCGCACAAATGCCCGTGTTCTCCCGGTTGAAGGTGTCCGTCACTTTGTCGCAAGAGCAGCAGGATTGCACCTGTCGCCCCACGGCACGGGTCGTTACTGCGCTGCTGTGGACTCAACAGGAATTGGATTACGTGCGTCATAAGGCTAAACTATAGTTTATTGCTCTTGCCCTTCCATTTTTCAACTCTAGCATATGTCAGGTGTAAACTCGCTTCTTCAGAAACCAATGGTTCCGGACCGCAGGAACTTGGCTCGGCGGCGCTCTTCGCCGTTGGACAACGCGCTGGCTCCGGATGCCCGGCTGTCGCCCCACGCCTTCGTTTGAACCGCCTGGACTGAGGACATCATCGTATCCATTTGCTGCTTCAATCCCTGCACCTCTGCCAAGACGGTGGAAATATCTGGTATGCTCGAAGCGCTTTTCAATAAGCTCCCAGGCTTGGTTTGCATCAATAGCACTCCTGGCACCTGGCCCACCATGCATTTCCGCGATCAAAACATTCCAACAAGAACCGGCAAGCGACCACCAATATCTTTACCAACCTCTTTAGGCATAGGAAGTCCTCTTCATCCAAAGCACGAAACGTCAAGTATGTGATGGAAATTGTCGTATATGTCCAAAGACAACCACCGGCCTTGCCCTTCTCCTTGCTACACGCGCCGTCTTTACAGTCTTCTGCCAGCGTCGCTGGCAAAAGCAGCACCGCGAGCAAGCTCAAGAGGGTCACCATAACTAATGGGTCCTACTATCCTTCCTACGTTTCTCCACCTAACCAAAACGGCTGCGAGTTCGCAAAGCCTTGCCAATTCCATTTGGCAAACGACGCATGGACGCACAAAATGTGCAGGACAAGGGGAGCATGCACACAGCGTCCCAGATGTCCCAGCTGACCTCACTCCAGGTATGCCTCGCAATATGCGTATGCGTATGTATGCATACAAAAAATATACCTATACATATGCATATACAAACACAGTGTGTGTGTGACATATACATATAGTGTGCGTGTGTGATGTAATGTAAATGTATCTTGTAAACATATATGTTATATTTTAACATTTATATATATATTACATATGTATATATATATATATACATTCCTAGAGTGTTAGGACCCTTTCTTGTGAAGCTCGCTCCGTACTTTTCCGTCA